CTTCCTATCAGACTTCAGAATTGTATGAGATACCATATTAAAGGATTTGTAATCCGGGGTTACATCTAAAGACTTGAAATAATACTAGATAATATCTGTTTTAAAGGAACCTCGAGATTTTGAATATTTATTGTAATATTAGTCAACGTGTTAGGTTTCAGAGTGAGGCTTTTAGAAGAACGTTTTGGTCTCTAATTGAAAATTCACCCCTACCAGTATTATTGCTATATTTATATTGACAAAAGAATTTAGGAATAAGTCAAACGAGCCATAGTGATTGGTTTGGCGCTCTAGACAACCGTAATATATATAGTGTAGCTTTCTGACAGTGTAGCTTTTTGACAGTGTAGCTTTCTGACAGTGTAGTTTTCTGACAGTGTAGTTTTCTGACTGTGTAACTGGCTACATTTCATATCAACTGTTTTTAAGTAATCAACCTTGTGCAGTTATAAATGCAGTCACTTACCTGCGTAATGTTCTAATGATTACCTGGGCAAACACGGTACTTTTATCTTTGATCCCGCTGTGTAACTATACGTATGAACTCAGGGTGACTCTTTAAGTGTCGCTGAAGTGTGTCATCCACCCAGGGATTTCATGGCAGACTGTGTGAGGTGCATGATCTGAGATGTCTTCATTGAGGCCCCCATGCAAAATAAATAAATAAAAGCACAAAATGCACTGACACATTGCAGTTAGCTGGGGAAACGCTGGCAGGTGACATAGGTAAGATGGTACGATAACTTACTGTCTGTGCCATCTCTGGCCTGCGCTTATTCCCTACCAGGAGAACTACCTTCAAAATAGGCCGAACCACTATCCTCGGCTCCCCTTCTTACCGCGATGCAAACTGAATGGTGCTTTTCTTGCCATTTGCACAGGTACACTGGAATGCTTCTTTTCGCGTATTGTGTTCAGTTGAGTCATATACAGGTGAGAACAAAGCTTTGTGGTGTGAGTGCAGGTTCAGCCATTTTTTTGACACCGCTGGGGCATTAAGGACTTTGCTCCAGGGTCCGACAGCAATGTCAGTATTCCACCAAGCACGTCATTTGAACCAGCGACCTTCCGATCACAGAAAAAGAGACCGAGCTTGCTGACCTGCAGACCACCCCGCAAGCACAGCATCATTCTGTTAAGAGAATCTTAAAGAGAAACATAAATAGCCATACACACAGAATCATTCTGTGTTAATACTGCAGTGTAGATGGGAACAGACAGTCATTTTAAAGTAAAACGTTTTTTTTTCTTCTCTTGGTGGCTTTGATCACAGAACCTCTCTTAGTCATTGTCTATGGTAACTATAATTTTCCTTTTCCCTGACATTCCATCAGAATTATGTTAGACAGAATTACAGTTGCATCACTGCTGAAAATGCTGTTTCGACAGCCAGTGTTTTGAGAATAATGTAGTGACAGCTTTGAGCTGTGTATTTGTCCAAATAAACTTATTTACTGTATAAAGGTGGTGACTCAAATATGGAGAAAAATGTCAAATACATAAAGTCTATTTCACTACAAAAAGTACATAAACCATCCTGTTACAATGTACATTCACTGATATTGATGCTGGATTTACATGCGGTGAAGAATGAATTGTGTGAATTTAATAAATACTTAACTGGTTAACACTTGTTGACACAGTATATTGATTAACCGGTAGCCTTCTGGATTAGCAGTTAAAACAAATCTCAAGTTAATTTGGTTAGCTGGATGATTAAAGTCTACCATTTACCAACAGCCCACACGGATTTTCTGTTTCCTCTCTCCATCCATAATTGCTGGATTAACTCATTATTATGTCTGCCATTTAAAAATGATTATCATAATCCTAAATGGCCTGCTTAGTGTCATTAGAAGGATCTTGTAGCTTATGGTGTCAAAAGGTGCTCTGGTAGCTTCAGGCAGAACAGCTGAAGAAGGCGAGAGCTTGAGGAAGATGGAAAGCCTCAGGGTGGAGAGGTCAGGCATGGTGGCACCTGCGAGCGATCGGCTGCTGGAGATGGGGGAGGTGTTGGGGAATGGTTCGCCGCCGACACCTTTTACTGAATTGCGAGACAAATTCACCCGCAGTGAGAGAAGAGGTGGGTGGGGATGATGAAGAATTTGGGAGGAGAAAGTACAGAACAATTTGCATGGGTTATTAGCAACAGACTGCTCTGAAGGAACGGTAAGAGGGCAATGAATGGAGTGTGTCAAGGAGGCTTTTTGGTAGCTACCAAGTGGCTTTGCCGTTTGGATTTTTGCCATTTCTGCTTACTTCTGCCGGGATGAATTTTGCTGAGAAGCCAAAGTGTGGGAAGGTTGCTCTCAAATCTCAAAGTCAGAGCCCAGAGTTAGCCGACGGGAGGCCGAAAGTGAGGACAGGGGAGTTTTGGAGCTGACTCGGCACAATAGTTAGAACAGTGGTCAGCGGGTGAAAGGGAAGACAGCACAGGACCAACAAAGAAGAGGACGGGAGTTTCAGTGAAAAAGAGACCAAGGTGGGATAGATGGGGAGGTGGGATGCGATGTGGATTACGTTTGCGTTTGCAGCTTTGCCAGCATTTTATACGGGAGGGTGATACGGGGAAGGGGGGCAATGTCAAACGTCCGCAAGGGCAGGAGGCTGGCAGGAGTGAGAATTAGAAAGGATGCTTAAGTCACCCAGCAGAACTAATGTGTATGGAGATGAAATTGGTTGGATGGTCACCCAGAAAGCAGCGAGGAGGAGCTGGTGGTAATGGACAGGCCAGTCAACATGGTGATTCACAAAGCAGATATTCAAACAAATATGAAGGGAAAGGAAATGCTTGAGAAACAACTAAGGCTGGACCTCAAGGCTTCCTCACGCTAAGGGCCCAGTGATGTGAAAGAATGTGGAATTTGATGTGAGGGTCACTGGAGCAGCTGTCTTGAAAGAAGTGAAAGGAAAGTGAGAGAGGGGTCACTCCACCACGAACTCAGGCTTGCATGGAACGTGAGCCTCTTTCGGGCCAAGCTTTGGGAAGGAACGGATTTGCTCGGCATGCTTGTTTGTGCCGGTAGAAGCAAGTACAGCAAAACATAGCACATCGACAGGAATAAATAAGCAGTTTATAGAGGTGTATGGATTTCCGGCTTTTCTCCCTCAGTCGACTCCCTTAGCTTTGCACTGTCAGTATGCAGATATAATGGTCTGATTCTCATATATATTCCTTTTAGAGTTTTTTGCCTCGAGTATCTCCGTCCAGTGTCCCCACCAATAAGTGGTTAGTCAAAGTATCTTTTATTGTCAGCTTCAGATATTTGAGCTGAAATGTTGTTGTTGTCGGTCATAGTGCAAATGAAAAACAGTAATAAATACTATTTAAATATTGAGGTGTTCAAACATAATATAGACATTACATTTTAAGACAGGACATTAAGACAGGCAGGAAGACACAGTTAACCCCCTGATTGGTGGGGAAGATTGTGCAAATTGGTACAAAAGTTTGCCGGTGAAGCAGAATGTACAAATAATTGATTGATAGATGAATGGATAGCTAGTCCAATTAGTACAATGGTATTTGACACATGGTACAAAAAAAACTACTAATGGCACCAGGGGGTGGTGAGTGGCAAAGTGGGCTAAGCCTCTGTGCCTGTGATCAGAAGACTGCTGGTTTGAGCCCCAGTCTCGGTAGAATGGGCACAAGTCCGTGGACCCTTGAGCGAGGCCCTTAACCCTCAGCTCCAGCGGCGCTACACGTTAGCTAGCCCTGTGCTGTAGCGAGAAAGATGGGATCAGCAAAAAGAAGCATTCTAATGTACTTGTGTAAATGGCCAATAAAGTGTGCTTTGTTTTGTTTCAAACATTCCCGAAACAAGAAACAGTCTCATACAAACAGACTAGAAGGTGTAAGCCGGTGTGTATGCGGGTTTTCGCTGCAGCTCCCTAATTATATTATTAATTAGAGGACTGATTGGCTGAGGAGTCCTCACACCTGGGTTTGAACAGCTGACCTAAAGGTTACCCCAAAAACCTGCACACACACCGGCCCTTTGCGGATAAGATTGGCCACTGCTGGTGTAAGCAATGTGAATCACTAAGCTGTACGAGAATGACAAGAGTGACGAAGCGGTATGACAGAAAGACATCGATAAACAGATAAAGGCACATTCACCCTCATTATACTGCTTGTAATTTGATTTGTGTCAGCTTTGTGGTGTTTTTGGCCCTCGTTCTCTGGCTTCAGGGTCACCCTATTTAATTCTGCTAGAGCAACAGTGTAATTTGTGATGTTAAGGAGCTTTGTAATTTAGAGAGCTGCTGGTCATTTAATTCATGGCTTGCTGTGTATGGGTGACATTTATGAAATACATGGTATGTTATTTTAAAAATTACATGGAAAACCAACCATTCAGAATAAAATTTCAAGCACTTGTCTTTTTATGGCAAATAGCTACTCATGTCAAAGTTGACATCATAATTTAATCTGCAAAATATCTATCTATTTATCTATCTGTATGTCTGTGTTTGTGTGCCTATCTGTGTGTCTATCTGTCTGTCTCTGTCGATATGTTTATCTACCTGTCTATCTATCTATCTATCTATCTATCTGTCTGTCTGTCTGTCTGTGTCTATCTATCTATCTATCTATCTATCTATCTATCTATCTATCTATCTATCTATCTGTCTGTCTGTGCCTGTCTGTCTATCTATCTACCTGTCTGTCTGTCTGTCTGTCTGTGCCTGTCTGTCTGTCTATCTATCTATCTATCTATCTATCTATCTGTCTGTCTGTCTGTGCCTGTCTGTCTATCTATCTACCTGTCTGTCTGTCTGTCTGTGCCTGTCTGTCTGTCTATCTATCTATCTATCTATCTATCTATCTATCTATCTGTCTGTCTGTCTGTGCCTGTCTGTCTGTCTATCTATCTGTCTGTCTGTCTATCTATCTATCTATCTGTCTGTCTGTGCCTGTCTGTCTGTCTATCTATCTATCTATCTGTCTGTCTGTCCGTCTGCTGCTCTATCACCTTTTCTCTTTCCTTCTGCAGGTTACTTCCAGCGGACCAGCTTGCCTCCAGCTCAGCGCTCCTTCCAGGGCTGCATGCAGCTGGTGCACGTGGATGACCAGCTGGCCGACCTGCATGCGGTCGAACAAGGCAGGCTGGGAGCATTCGAGAATGTCAGCCTGGACATGTGCGCCATCATCGACAGGTACAATGACGGACCTCCACAGAAAACCCGACATCCAGTTAAATTAGTAAATTGGCCGACAGAGCCAGTTCTCATAACAGGCATCTGGCTAGAGCAGCGACCACTGGCTAGCAGACTCCAGTCTGCATCTGGACCAAAATACAAATGAATCCGGACCTTGGTTTTGTGTTTCTGCTGGAATTTGGCCCTTGGGAACCTCTGAGCTAGAGCAAAGTAGGCTTAGCATAGGCACACAGCCGGGGGGGAAGGAATCAGAGGAGTTACGGCTGAATCTCCCCTGAAACTTGTGTCACTTTTCATTCAGTGATTCTCCTCGGTGTTAGCACACAAAATGCCACAACCGTGAGGGACATAATCACGCCACAGAAGATAATTTGGGCGGTGAAAAAGGTTAATTGTCATGCCTCATGTACACAAACGTGCCTGCTTGGTGTTGTCCATCATTGACCCCACGCTTTGATGCACAACACGCAAAGGCAAAGAAAAAGAAAAGATTTCTTGCTGTGCTGGGGCTTTTGCTATAACAAAATCTTTGGGATTAATTGCTGCTCTAAACAACTGCACTATTTAGAAGAAATCCAAAAACAAGCACCTTCTGCTCTGAATTGAGTGGAAAACAGCAAATAATGAATGCAGGCACAGTTCGCAAATATTGCCGGGTCTCCATTGTCTCATGAATAATGGAAAAGGGGTTTGTTTCCCTGTTTTCTTTGAATTGCTTGAATGGAGACCTTATTCTGTCAGTTTTTTTTCTTTTCTTTTGTTTTTTAAAATGAAGCTATTATTAAATCCTAGGTCAAGAAACAGACTAATTTCTCTGCTTTGTTATCTTTTAAGACAGCGGTTTGTAGAATCATGTTTGAACAAAACAAATTCGTTCACCCGTGATTATACCGTCAGAAGTATTACATCCTCGACAAAAACCAAGAAATGGGTCATGTAACAGCTTGTATTTAATTAAACCTAATTGGATGCTTTAAGTAATTAAATAACTGGTTAATTTGTCCTGTTGCGTTCAATTACATTTTACAATGTTTTAATGTCTATTGAAGTTTTGCTTGAATGGTAATAAGCACACTTCACGTCTGGGACATGGTTCACTGGTGTCGCTAATTTGCTATGCACTCTTTTGTACATAATTCCCAATAAGGTAAGAGAAACATGAGCGAAAAGGACTTCCTCATGTCAGCAACCGGATAACAACCTACTTTTATTCAGCTGGGTAATCATGTGTCTTTCAGCTCAATTATTTTGCGTCAGAGACTTCGACCGCACCATAATTACTTTCATTTGTAGTAGGGTACTATAAGTATGCTTGGTAAAATGACCCCGGAAGAATGGGAATTTCATTAAACTGACCGGTGATTTAGGATAAGCTTTATGCGTAATGTGGAAAAGAAAGTAGCTCCGTGTGAATCAGGTACTTCGTCCTGAAAGGCTTCATTCCTGCTGCCATTCTAATTACTGTGTCATGTCACATAGTACAATGTGGGAGCCACAAAAGGATGCAGTTCTTAAAATTCATGATTGCCAGTTATATTCTTTCTGGCTTCTCAATCTGGAAGAAAGTGCCCAGGTGTCAGGAGTGACCCACTGACATCCTCATCCTAAAAGCCGACCGTTCTGAGATATGTCATGCCCAAATGCTGACCAGGAGATCTCTGCTGGAGGAAACATTATAGGCGTCATTCTTCTGCAGAAAGGAGGGCAGCAGAGAGAATCGCACCAGAACGTTATTAAGATGCTCGTAGGGGTGTTTCGGGGTCCTGCAGGTCACTCGGAAACTCATTTCTCAGCGTGGTGTAGTCTTGTTTGCGACGTGGTGCACACCATTAACTATTAGTTCTAAAAATTTGTTTGTTTGCCGTGTGATTTTCCGGTGATCTAAACTCAGTCGTGGAATTTATAGGGCAAAAGCTGGGGTAGACGCAGTACTGCGTGTCAGTCCAGTAGCAGTAACATGTCATAGGCACAAGTATCTTCAACTGCTCAGTATAACTTGTGGATCACTGTGTGGCTCTACTTTGAGGTAATCATTCCTTAACATCTATGAACTGTATAAAAGCTGCTACAGTTACACCTGAGGCACAGTTGCAGGGTTTGGATCACGTTGAAAACCAAGGCCGTAAATTTGGGTGTGGATGGTAGAGACATGTCCCAGCCTATTTTGTGGGAGTACCATGTGTTTAAGGGTCCGGGGTTAATTCTGTCGTTACCAATGTTGAAACCAAACCTACACTGAAAGCATAATTGAGGCTAGTCATTCTGTGATCCAGGATGCAGATTTGTATGACACTGCAACCTTTGCAGATTTCCAGCTTCAGCCAACACTTCAAGCCAGACGGGGATAATTTTAGATTTCGGTTTTGCAGAGAGAACCCTGCACTAGCTACATTAATTGAGGCATCTTTAATCCTGATCCTGGAGGAACGTGAGATGTGCAGAATTTCATTCTACCTGACCACTTAAGTACTTGATTAAACTAATTATTCTGTTTATTTATTTAATTAAACTACTTAGCTGCTCGCTAGCTCCAGATACTGTGGCTGAGCAGTCATCTGTTAAAAGGTCTGCACACTTCATATGCTGCGCAGTCTGTGGTCCTACAGGGTCAGGAATAAAGGAGGTCTATTTCTGATGGAGTGGGCATACTGCATGCAGTAAATGCAGATGAAATAGTTATGCACTCACTGACTTCTGCCATTTTATCAGTGGTGATCACATGATTCCGATCTGGCAATTACAAGTCGGGTGTCTCTTTCTGTCAGTAAAACTGTATAATCAGTGCAACCGGATTCATCCTCAGATATTTTATTCAATGCAAGTGGTTGATTTGCAGAGGTGGACAGGTCAGGTCCAGAAAGTAAAAATCCAGACCAAGATTTTGTATCAACCAACCAGTTGAATACTCTGTGACTGACTCTTTGTAACTGGTTGGTTGAAACAAAATCTTGGTCTGGATTTTTACTTTCTGGACCTGAACTATCCGCCTCTGTTGATTCGGAATGTAATCCCTGATTATGTCAAGCCCTTCTGGTTGCAGGTCACTCGTCCAATTTACTCGAAAAGTTACACTGTGGTAAGAAAGGCCATTGCGGTGTACCTAGGCATACATGCTCAGGCAGTAAAGTAACAGTAAAGCATTAAAGATACATTGAATTTGCATTAAAATTCCACTGATAAAACCACTACCATCTCTTAGCTGATTGCTACCCTTCTAAATATAGGATCTGCATGAGGCACCATTCATAGTAATTTCAATGAGAGCAGATGTAATGAAAACATGATTACTAAATGTCCTTTGGGATCAATAAAATTATCTATCTATCTATCTATCATCTATCTATCTATCTATCATCTATCTATCTATCTATCTATCTATCATCTATCTATCTATCTATCTGATCATGTGATTTTTTTAAACAACCTATTCCTTTGTATGTTACGCACAGAGAATGCCTATTAAAAACAATATCTACCCTGAAATCTTTGACAGGATATTTATGGGTAGATCATTTTTTTAACCTGCAGTGGTTAAGTAGGAAAACATAGTGTCTCTCACTGTATTTCACTTCAGCCACTATAAATCTATTTTTCCACTTTAACTTTTCTATTTTTTTATTTTATCCTTCCTTTCTACACATGATTGCATTTTTTTTATTCCTGGCATCAGCCAAGATTGTGGTCAGAACTGCAAACTGAGCTCCATCTCGGATTCAAAAAAGCTCTTGTAGCTCAACAAGTAGATTGTTGTGCTAATAATGCAAAGGTCCGTTCTCTCTACAGAAAGTCACTTTCAATAAAAGTATCAAGTGTATGAGTTTAATATAAAAACGTGACTTGGACCATAACAGTTAGCTGCTGTGTTTTTTAACAAAAAAAAAAAACAGTTTTTTAGAGGTGTGGATTTATTTTGATAATTATGCTTCTAATTTGTTTACCCCCTGATATATACAGTACAATTCTCACCTACACTTATTTTATTTGAGTTCGCACTTGGCTATGATAAATAATATGATGGCTCGTGTAATGGAAAACTAACCTTGCCATCTGCTGCAATATGTAAACTAATGTTTTTGTTTAACCCCTGTAAATGATTAAATCCCCCCCCCCACACACACACACACAAACAGTGGGGGACCCGCAGTACGGAAGCACCTGAGCGGAATCACAAGGAACCTCAGCTTAGAATTTGCTTTAAACGGCTCTAGAGGTGCTCTGTCAGGTGTGGGGGGGGGGCTCTGTCAGGTGGGTCCTGCTGTCTGTCTGTCTTCCCTGCATGTTCTCGGTGTTGTGCTTGCGTAGCACTTGCTGAAATTCTACTTACACTTACACCTGGGCATTTATTGGAAGCTCAGCCCAGCTGCGCTCAGGCCTAGTCGACTCCGCGACGGCATGTACGTTTGTGATGCGCTATTTGCCTCACTTGTATGCTGTTTTGGACAAAAGTGTTTTGCCACATGAAAGTAAATGTAAGTGTAAATGTAAATGGTCACCTCCCCAGAGATGTGGGTTGTCATTGCCGTCACCCCTGCAAGTCTAATCCTTTTAAGCTAACGCCAACGCATTTTTATTTTTTCCTAATAGTTGCATTATATGCGTGTCGCTTTCGATTATGCAGCATGCGAGTGGAGCATAAAGAGACGGAACGGGCCGGGGTTCCCTGTCGGCTCCCCTCCATTTCCGTCAGAGGTGTCCTCCTTCTCCGTGGTGCCCGACTCGCTGGGGATACAGACACGTTCTCCGGTCGGGTGGAGGGCTGACGGGCGCCTCCGTGTCCCGCCAGGGCAGCGGTACTGCAGCCCCCCTCTGTCTGACAGCCGAATAGAGGCTTGTTTGGGTCTGTCGGAGCTGCCTTTCCTGCATGTAGGACTCATCAAAGAATATTACTCCTTATACTGCTAATACACCAACATATACAATATTTACACATGATCAAGTTATATGTTAAGATTAAGTTATATGTTAAGATTAAGTTATATGTTAAGCCGTATGCTAAGTCTCTTTTTGGATATAATGGAAATATTGTGGTATATCTTAATCACGACCACCTCTCCAGTGTGCCTCAGTAGGTTTGTCCTTTGTGCCTGCGATCAGAAGGTTGCTGGTTCAGATTACTGTATATAGTCTGATGGGCCTTTAACCTCCTAAAAGAATCAGGGGTGCCGGATTAGTGAGCCTGTGCTCAGATGCCAAGCTTCACTGTCACATACTGTAAATAACATACAAAATTCTGCGTATGATTTCATATACAGTGCCAGTCAATGGACACACCAAGCTGCCTACAAAGGAGAGTGATAGGATGGTGGTTTTGGAGGAGTTTGACCAAATAGTTATACTGTGCCTGCATTCATTATTTGCTGTTTTCCACTCAATTCAGAGCAGAAGTGATGGAACCAACAACATCCTGACATCCCCACAGTGCTGCCCCCCTCCCCTCCAAAAATATTATTTTTATTATTATTTTAATTATTATTATTATTATTATTATTTATGTTTAATACTTTTTTGATCAGTGTGTAATTTCATATATGCTGTTTTATAGTGTTTATATCTTTGATATTAGAGAATTGTACAAAAAAGTTTGTGTCCAAACTTTTGACTGGTACTGTGTATAATTAACTTCATGAGCATGTCATCGATTTAAGCCAGAATGTGACTACTCCAGATGAAGTTGTTAATATTTGACAAATGTTTTTCTCAAAGTCTGGCCCCACCAACATGTTCTTTGCACCTAAAGACACGACGGATGGGGAATTTTCCGGCTAAACATTTGTACAGTAACTCTGCCAGTCAGGCACAGATGGCCAGATAAGTAACCCTGGCCAGCTGGGGAAGTCACAAAAAGTCAAGGCTGTCTTTGACATCCACTCGTAAATTGTGGAAGCGTGAACTCATAGAGATGACGTACTGGCTCAGTGGGTTACAGTGCTGCCTCACACTTCTAATGCTACCTGTGTTCTGTGTGGCTAGAGTTTCTGTGCTTCCTGTGTCGTGCTCCTGTAGTCCAAAGATATGTCTTTAGGCCAGTGTTTCCTGATCCGGTCCTCGGGGACTCGCAGACGGTCCAGGTTTTTGCTCCCTCCCAGGTCCCTGCCAGACAGTCCACATTTTTGCTCCCTGCCAGACAGTCCACATTTTTGCTCCCTGCCAAACAGTCCACATTTTTGCTCCCTGCCAGACAGTCCACATTTTTGCTCCCTGCCAGACAGTCCACATTTTTTGCTGGGAAAGAGCGAAAACATGGACTGACTGCGGGTCCCTGAGGACCTGAATGGGAAACACAGCTTTAGGTTAACTGGTGTCTTTAAATTGCCTATAGAATGTGTGTGTTTGTGTCCTGTGATAGAGTGGCGTCCCGTACTGGGTGTCCCCGGCCCTGTGCCCTATCCTGCCTGGGATAAGCTCCAGGCTTCTGAAACCTTATACTGGATAAGTGGCTGGAAGATGGATGGATAGAACTGAAGAGGTTTTTATTAAAGGAAACAAAAACAATATTGAATCTGGGTGTATCACTTTGTATCACTAGCCTTCTGTTATTCATCTCTGACCAGCACACCAATGAAATATTGTGGGTTTCCTGCACATATGCGTTCATTATAGAAACAAACTCAGGGACAATAAATCGGAGAGCAATAGGGCTCTCCACTGCAATCAGGGTCTTTGTTTATAACTATTTGCGCGTATTTATTTAAACAGCATTGCTCCTAATTTGCTGAAATTCCAATTCTTGTCAGGTATCTTATTTTATCCTGTCTTTTCCTTAATATATCAGCAGCATTTGAATACTTGAAACTATTTTGTCCCATTTTCTGTTTCCATCCATTAGAAGAAAAAAACAAATTGTTTTCCTTCACTGTAATACAGTGTGACATGCTGGAAGAAATGTGAGTCAAAGAAATTATCTTTGTGGCTGCCAATAATGTTGGCAGACAGAGACACAGCAAAATAGTGTAATAGTGTAACAGTATCATTCAGTGCAGTTGTTAAATTTGTCTCAACAAAACAATATGCATTTGGCAATGGCCAAAATAAGTTATCTATGTACTGATTGCAGAATATAATCAATAGTCTGTTTTTGAGCAAAGAAATAAAGAAATCTTATGAAAAACCATTAATATGACAGGGATTCAAGCGGTAAATAAATTAATTCAACTCATAATTTTCAACGTAGACTGTTTTTTATGCAGAACAAGTAACAAGTATCATCCAGACATATTGAACCGTATGCCAGATACCTTCAGGCAAACACACAGAGCCTAACTAAATATAGAAATGGACATTTCAATAAATATATACTATATGTAAAATGTTTAGATAAAATTAACATAATTATTTCACGATGCATCATTTTAAGTTCTGACTATAATGTATTGTTTGTAGTGTAGTGTGTTACTACAAAACATTTGTCATGATCTGCAATCTACAACTGAATCATCTTATTGCATAGCTAAGCACGCAGATTTTGTTGTTCATTAATGAAAAAATTGTGGAGACAGCAGACAGATGTAAGCCAGTGATGGACTTAAAACTGGAAACGAGCTCCACCACATGAAATCATTGCTTCCCCCAGTGTATTAAATAGTTGAACTTTAATAGATATGTGCTACCAAGGGAAATTCTAAGGATGGGTAGTTTGGCGGATAAGAAACAGACAAGATCATTAGCATTTCTTTGGTGTAGTACAAGGCGTGATCAAACAGAGAATTGAGTGCAGAGTCAAATGATCTGCAAATGAGCTGTGATTGCCTTCCCTGACTTATCTGCTTATCGTATATGAAGTATGAAGTACCTCTATTGGCCATCTTCAAGAAGCTCCGTTGCGAGGTTCCACACACCTCTTCAGAGCCTTCTTTCCCTTTGCCGTCAGTCTATGTGACGATTTAGGTGACAGTGACACAGTCAGTAGAACAGAGGGAGCAGAGACAGACTGATATTTTTGGCGCGTTGCTTCCAAGCAACTGGGGACGTGTGAATTGATAATTCATAAGCATCTGTTACACATGGAAGGAATTTTAATGCGTTCACTGTACTTAAATATTTCTTTAGAACAATCTGAATAACAAATCTTATATCAAACTCCAAGGCTGTGCCAAAGAACAGTAGAAAAATTTTGTAGAAAAAAGTGCATTGAATACGACTACATTATTATTGTTTTGAGTGTTGATCATTAACTTGGCTGGATTCAAGTGGTAAATAAAGTGTGTTGCATATACCAACATGTGTAAGTTCCCTTTATCTGAATAATAACTCTTATCACATCAAATTGCAAGGTTGCTCTGAAGAATTGTAGAAAAAATCTGTATAAAAAGCACATTCAATATAAATGCATTATTATTTCTCTGAGTGTTGGTCATTAACTTGTTTGGAATCAAGCAGTTGAACGTGCCTGAATTCTCTGTTGTGTTCCTTCTCTCTGCACTGCCCCCTTTCCTCCAGGTGCATGCCAAACCACTGTGAGCATGGGGGCAGGTGTACGCAAAGCTGGGACAGTTTCCGCTGTAGCTGTGATGGAACGGGGTACTTCGGAGCCACCTGCCATACCTGTAAGGGCACTGCTTTAACATGTACACAGCGGTGGAAAGTTCAGGTCCAGAAAGTAGGTTTTGTTTCAACCAATTAGTTGAGCATAAAGAGTCGCAGTCACAGACTTCTCAGCTGGTTGGTTGCAACAAAACCATGGTCTGGATTTGTACTTGGATTTGGTCTGTATTTTTTATTTTCTTTTTTACTTTCCAGTTCTGCATATGCACATGTTAATCTAATCTACTCTAATACACTGTACATATACAAGCATGCATTTGATGTTTTGTTCTTATTTGTTTAGTTTTAAAAAGGAATCATGTTTTGCTGCTATGTGTGTTCCAAGGAACACAGTGAAATTCTTATGCCACATTTTTTAAGATGGGGGGGATGGGGGAGAGGACAATAAAAGGCAAGACAGCGGTGCATGCACTCCTACATTTGTAATGATGATATAATTGAATGTCAAGGAAATTGTTCCCTCTGTTCACGAATGAATGCATTCTAACAAACGTGCTAGAGCCCATAGCTACACTCAAACCCCAGCCTCTCACACGGAAGGCGTCGTCTGTAGCTGCTCTACCATTAGGGTAAAGCTGTTTAGTGAGGCTCTTAAGATTGCTACTTTGGATTTTTATGCAAATTACACACACACACGCACACACACACACTCTGAACTAGTGGTGCTGTTTTGGGCTAATGCAAATCATAAACTTTTATAAGTTTTAAACAGTTAAACTCTCATTTTTTAAGTTATTTCAGCAGCAGCCTGAAATATATATCTGACGCAATAAATATTCTAAGCGTGATGTTATTTTCTCAATTGCCGCAGCTTGTCAGAGTAAATCAGCCTTTTGACATGAACATCAGACCTGGTTAGCTTGTAGCTGTTAGGTTTTTGCCCTGCTTCTGTGACACTGAGAGTCAGAACAGGATTTGCTTTTTTTCGCTCATTAATGGACAATGTGACATGCGATATCGGATTCCTGTGATGAAATGAACCTCCCAGTCCACTCCTCAGTCAGGTGCTGGAGAGGGTCGCCCGTTGTGCACATCTCCGCAACATTTATTGAGCTATACAGAAATAACGTTTTGCCTTTCCGCACAGCAATCACAAATTCAAAATGAAAAGCTGAAAGCTGATTTTATAATAATGACATTGTTAGTGTCCATCATGGATAATTGGGGCTTTCTCGTTTACATTTTCCATTTTACATATTTACCAGACTGACTTATTCAGAGCAACATCCGCGGCTATTGTGAGAAAAATGTTAAACGCTTATTGAAACAATGGTGGAAATCAGCCAAACAGCACAGGGAGCATTAACATTAGTTTCCTGACACTGTTGCAATTAGTGACACCATTGTATTGTTCAGTTATGTGGTACAGTACACAATTAATTTCACTTTATGGGTTCAACCCTAAGAGGTGAACGTCTAGTTTAAGATGGAACAGTGTATGCAGTTCAGAATTGCTTAGCTCTGGTGTGTGGTAGCAGTTAGCCATCGCTGAGCAGTCTAACTTGTGAAGTGGGTGTGGAGCTGTCCTCAAGGTGCGTAGCGCCAAAGCCTTTTCTTGTTTGGAGTGACAGAATCAAAGCAAGGTGTTGGACATCCCTGCTGTGACTGACAGCAAAAAGGTACAGTCGCGAGGGAAATAGTGGCATCCAACTTCGGCTGTTTGAGGCAGGGAAAAAACCCCATTGTCCAGTTGAAAAGATAGTGAACAAGAAAAGTCCAGTATATGGGATGTGAGGTCATCCAGGATGGAATGGGAGGGGCCAAGAAGAAGGGCAGCACTGGGAGGAAAGCGATGAATCGATTCATTGTAGAGAAGACTGTTGCCCTAACATGGCAGCTAAAAGCTTATGAGGCTATGATGAATAAGGATGTTTGGACATTTATGATTGTTAATGAAAAGCTGTATCTTGTCTTTGCGAAACACATTTCATAAGCAAGGCCTTATAAAATGCACAATTAACTTCTTTAAAAATCCTTTACGACTATTCTGTGTATTATAAATAAAGATATCGCTGGACTTGCTTTAATTTAACATATGACATGTTAATATAGAATATGTGAATGTACTGTAACAGAATGGGAGGTAGCTACAGTATCTTTTAAAGTAAGGATTTTGGAATGATGTCAGGAAACTGAAAAAATGTGCTGAAAGTTCAGTACATTAAACTGAAAAAAGTGGCATTTTATCGTTGGATTGAAGCACCATCTTTGTGAGCTAACAGTGGCTGACTTTGAGGTCTTAGCAAACACTTTTGTCCAGAGTGACTTGCAGTTTTCATAAATGGGTATGTTTACTGGGTAATTATGGTTAAGTGGATTCCACAGCTTACTAGCTTCAGGATAAGTGTTCTTCTCTGCAACCACTGCTGTACCTATGGCCCACTTGACAGCTGTGATTTGTAGATTTTTAAAAATGTATTTCGTAACCGTTTAAAATCATTGAAGTCTTGCTCTTATTCTCTTGATATCTGGGTCAAAAATCTCAAGTCCCACATATTTAATGCATCCAAATCCTCTTCATCTTTTAAATCTCCATTTGTGATAATTTCCATACATCAGATTTTAATGTTGTGTAATTGTCAGCACACATTTGGTATAACCTGGGCTATATTATTTCTCACGTTCTTGTTGCTCAAAATGCTGATGACCACAATGCTAAATTATGCTGTAATGGAAACTGTGAACACTGCTTCACTTTTAATAGGCCCAGTAAATTTTAAACCAGTTACAATAATAAATGGCTGGTTATCATGAGCATTGATTCATATGCCTGTGTGATATGCACTGCAATATATAATGTAATATAACATTTTTCATCATAACAGTTTAGAATAAAAATTCCTGTGTCATTTTGAATAACTTGATGTGCTCATTCTACACAACTCAACAACACTGAGGTAAAAGTGAAACTGAAACTGTTGGCTAAAATAGTGAATAACTCCACTGTAATTTAAATTAAATATCACACCCACCAAAGTGAGCCTGTACTGCTATTGATAAAGTTAGGCTTTGGTTGTTTTCAAAATCAAGGGGAAACCTGAATGGTCATATATTCACCACTTTTCATCCATGCTATAATCTCTGCAGTATAGAAGAAGACATAGGTGGAAAGTTCCGCTCCAGAAAGTAAAAATCCAGACCGAGATTTTGTTTCAACCAGCCAGTTGCATTCCCTGTGACTGTGACTCTTCATACTTAACTGGTTGGTTGAAACAAAACCCTGGTCTGGAATTTCTGGACCTGAAATTTCTAACTCTGGTTGCTGTCTGCGGATTGTATTGATAAGACATAAACGTCAGCATATTTTGTGTTGTTTTGTGCAGCAATCTATGAGCAGTCATGTGAGGCATACAAGCACCTGGGTAAGACTTCAGATACCTACTGGATTGATCCTGACGGAAGTGGGCCCCTCAGTCCCTTCAGAGTAAACTGCAACATGACAGGTAGAGGATATTTTTTTGACATTTTCTTCATGTGAGTTTCACTGCATGTGCCATAGGATGTGATAGTGCAGTTTGTCGGCCTAGCAAAGGTATTGCAAATTCAGGCAAAGCTTAAGGGACCACACTAGTGCGATGATGGGGAGTGAAGACCGAGCGTGCGGCATTCCTTTGCCCGTGCTCGCAGCGAGCTGCAAGGTGGATGCCGAGCAATTCTAAAAGACACTGGAGTCGCGGATCTGAAGGGCTTCAAAGTTCAGTGCTCTGTGCTTGAAGGTGTGTCTCTTTTCCGGCGGTTGCCTTGAAGAACTGATTCTTTTTGTTTTGTAACACAACAGTACCTCAGCTGGAGCAGGAAGAGTAATGAAGTCATGTTAAAACTCCAAGTCATACAATCGTGGTCTGATCATGACAATGTTTCCAACGTTCTCCTATGTACATATAATTAAAACAAAAATACCAGCAAATATGAAAAAATGAAAATCTCCACCTTCCTCCCATGAAAACCAGGAAAAACAGATGCAACACAAAGGAATTAGCAGAGCAGTAGAGAAAAGAGCTATATAAATAAAGTAACAATAATAATAAAATAAAATATTAAGGATCATTTTGTGTAATATAGATTTATAATAAGTCACTTGGCATAGTTTATTTTTAATGAGCCTGTAAAACACATCATATGCATCTTAATTTTGAATGGAAATGGGTCTTTTGAATGGAAAGAAGTAGCTATTAAAGTAATTTTAAAAGAGCTATTCTACGCAATACCTGAAAAGAAAATGGTATAATATCATTGATATCAAAATAACTTTAGCAGACTGGGTATAATGAAACAAAATGAATAGTTTAGTTTTTATATGTTTCATTGATGAAAACGTTTAATTCCATTTTTTTTCTGTATTTCAATACTGACAATTGCCTTAATACCATGAAGGCAATACAGCAAAAATCTGCAATGAAGAGTAACAGGAGAATATGGTAGGACTGAGCATATCAGATGATGCGTTCTGAGCTTTCTATAGCAGATGTCAACTCACTATATCCAGCTGATGCTTAAAGTTTGAAAACTGGACCCATATGGAATCTGTTCATGGAGTTAAGAGTTGAATCAGTTGTCATGACGCCCATCACCCTGGGTATCAGAGAACACTTAAAAGAACTTTAAAACAAAGGATTAGTTGTTCTTTTATTCAAGACACATCAATAATTTCAGAAAAAGGTTTTTAGTGGTGCCTCAACAGCCCTGCAACACTTCACCAACGTTTTCATTAAGCGAAAACATAAATGAACGTGTCAACTTCAAACACCGTTAAACATTCACTCATATTAAAATCTCTTAAGAGTTTTGTCCAGTTCAACACAGTACGAGCATGAGTCATAGAAAAAAAGTATTTTAGGTCATTTTTGAAGCTAAATCCAGTAAAACAGGACAATATTTTGTGTTGCTGTTTTGAAAATGTAAAGTAAATGATGCAGATTACAATGTTCTATTCTGACATTGTCTTCGGTTATCTTGCAGCCCTGTTTTCTTTGCTGTCTATGCTATCCCCTACACACCTCAACAGCTACAGCAGGTTACATTTTAGCACGTGAGCATGGCCGTAATACTTTCTACAAAAACTACCGTGTGTGTATTTAGTCATGAACAATAGTATGGTAAGTCCAGAAATTTCTTCCTGGCTCGAGGAATGAGAGACGGGGAAGAGGTGTGTGTGAGGGAGTGGGAGAAAGAGAGAGAGACAGACAGACAGAATGTCGCCACCTGGGACTGGGGGGGTCTATTAATCAAAATGCCCCACCACTGGGCACCCCCCTGGCTTCAGTGAACATGTCCGGCTGTCTGTTTCAGACTGCGAGGCGTTTTTTTTTTTCTTTTTAAATGTGCCATAGATATCACCTCAAATTAAATTGTAAGGCTGCATATATTGTACCTTGACCAAGTTTCATTTTCTGGTGTGCTGTCGATTGCCTAATGCAATCAGATTTCTCTGGAGCCTGTAATCTGGACTCAAAATGCCATTTTGAATTTTGATGTAATAATTCTTTAGTATATGTATATGCTACAAGACCATTTATTGGTGTATAATCAGGTCATTCATTTTAGCTCAGCTTTAATTTCTTTAATGAAGCTATTGTTATAACAGGGTCTAATTTTACAGTCTATGTCTTGTGGTTATTGTTAGCATTTCCATTCAGCATTATTTGCATGAAGTGGAATTATGGGCATTTCAAGCATATTCTCTGTACCTGTGGGCTTAATATTTACAATTTTACCTTCGGTAATTCTGATATTTTTTGTCCCTAAATTGCCAAACTAAAAGGTCAGTTTCTTTTCTTTCAAAAACTGTGAATGTAAAAAAAAATTCCATTTCTTCACATTGTTGTTCGGTTTACTCTAAGACTGACATGTTTTAAATCATTTTTTTGACTACCTAAAATTATTCCAAGGATTGATAAACCAGGGAATATAATAAGTGACATGCATGTATGGAAGTTAACTCGAATTCAATTTATTTTCAGTTATTAAAATCCAAACTATTCTAAGTTAATTTTTCATTTTTATTCCCTTTTCTTTGCTGCATTGTCACATGCCACTTTAAAGACTAACTTCAATTTATGAAGTTTAAAAGGATCTGTCGTGAGAATTTTTTTTTGCCATTTTATATCCCCCTTGCTATATTCTTTCCTGGGAAATTTATTTCTAGCTATTTAAATTTAATTCAAGTTTAATATTAAATACTTGTAGTTATTCAAGATGATCATTCTTATTCTCAGAATTTCAAATTTGTTGAACAGAGCCATTTACTTGAGTCACTTTGGATTTTATTGTACATAGAGTGGATATATGCACAGAGAGTAAATATTTTATGTAAATTTTTACGTCTGAACAAAACCCACGGGTCCGAATGAGTGCGCGTACATCGTGTCATTCTCCAGCCTGGTTCAATGTGTCCGTTTTTTTTTATTCGCTTCAGAGGACAAGGTGTGGACGACAGTGACAAACAGTCTGCCCCCGCAGACGTCTGTGACGGGCTCGAGTCGGGAGAGGCGCACCGTCCTGCAGCTGAACTACAGTGCCTCCATGGAGCAGGTCTCCGCCATTACCGGCAGCGCTGAGTACTGCGAGCAGCATGTGGGATACAGCTGCCGCATGTCACGCCTGCTCAACACCCCAGGTAGGGGCTGGTTCACACTGAGGACGTGCCACAGTGCGCGTGCCTTAGCGCCTGAATTTTTACACTTCTCGCGGCAACTGTGCAAACCGCGTACTTTGACGGCAGGGCTGAGGTGGCGCTGATGAGCAAAAGTGCTCTTTAGTCCCGTTTATGAATATTTTACTTAAGCTAATTGTGCATCACGTACTCACAGTAGGCATAGACATAGACAGGTATTTAGCATTGTGGTTACAAACATGTATTTCATTTTAGCTTCAGGTGGTTTCGTTGCACATTCGTGTGGCACGTGAGCGTCAGTGTGCCCCCAAGAGAGCATCCATGTGTGCCATGTGTGTCCGTCCAAATATTTCGTTTTTTTAAGCTTCATTGGATAATTTGTTCTTTATTTACTTTTCTTGGTCTGTCCCTGAATTTTTACTGTTTTGGGTTCCCCCAGAGGATTCATTTGGCTCCAGTATGATTTTTTCATTAAAACGTCTTGCCCCCCATCTCTGTCAGTGTGACAGACTTGCCCCTCCATATTTCTATGGATTTGGTATTGCCCTTTTTACACCTTGTACAACAACCTGAAGGTTGAACATATCTGTGCAATCCAGTGGTTAAACTTAATTCTGTTTTAAATAGTGGTGCCCTTGATGTAATTAACGTGACTTTGCCGTTTTTTTCCCCCAACATGATGATGGTTCATTCTCTAATGAGGACAAATTATGGGATGGCTTTTGTGAAACACATTCAGTGACCCTTATAAAACAAATGGGTCTTTCTCCTTGCTTCTCCGGTAGTCCCACATATTCTGATTCGCTGTTAGCATTCGTCTTTGGACACAACCCCCCCACCCCCAGCCCCCCCCCAGCAGCAGGCCAGTGTAGCGTACCATCCTCCAATTACTCCCCTCTTCAGGGGGAGGGCCACTGAGGAACTCTGCTTCTCCTTGCACCCTCATCCTAGGTTTGCGCTCCACTCCTTAGGGTTGCAGAATACGCCTTTGTCGCACTCGATAAAAAAATATGGTTTTATTAACAGCTAGAAATGTAGTGCACCATTATGCTTTGTTTGAAAGAATTTGCTTAGGCTGACAAAAATAAAGTTACACATCTCTGGGAAATTAAAGTTAACTTTTATTTTTAAATTTAAGCTTGAAATCAAATGACGTATATGCCTTTCCTAGACGTTATATCGCATTTTGAACATGTTTTCCTTGTGTTGCCAGTGATCGTTCGTCTTACTTTTTGCCTTTTCATTTCGAGATGAATGCCCAAAACGCTTCATCCAGTACCAATAACTGTTGCAACTGTTGAAGAGAATGTTTAATAATACGTTATATTACATCTGAACTCATGTACCTCGCAGACTAGTGAACTGCAACGAGAACTATGTGGAGTTAGTTTTAACTATCTTTGAAGATAATATCCAAGTTGGTTTGATATGCATATTATCATATAAAAGAAAATGGGCTTGACACACACACATTAACATATAAAATGGCCATATCTAAAACATTTAGTAGGACCTATTAAAATATTCATTGTAATAGGCTGAAAACTAACCTTAAATAAGGCCTAATTTCCCATATCTTTTTTTCCCTGTACTATGTCAGGTCTTTATCTTATTTATTTTTTGTTTTATAGAGCATAACTTTGCTAATGCTCATATTCTTGGGTGGAGGACATTCATTTGTCTTTGAAATTAAGGTTTTTAATCATTTAAACCTCTCTATTGACAAAGCTGTTAGCATGGAAGGTAATAATGAGATTTATCTGCCCTGAGTCGTCTGGCTCATGTTGTCAGCATGAATTTCTTATTGACTTTCTGTACAAGCCAGTAATTATTCATAAGTCATAGGAAGTGCTGTGGAATTTTCCCGGCATGAGCTCAGAGCCCATTTGTACATCAGAGCACAGTTCGCTCCTGGCCTCGTAAATTTTGTAAAGTGCATTAAGATTAGACAGCAAAGTAGTCTGATGTTTAGTATTCACGCCTCATAATGTCAATATTTCATAATGATCAAATCAGTGAAATACTTTAGACAGACAGTTGAGAGTTTGAGAGCTTCTTTTCATAAATGATGATGTCCTTAGTATTTGTCCTTATGACCGTATTTTTAATGTGACTTTGATTTTCTTCTTGAAAGGAATTACCTTTATACTGTATAAAATTGATTTTATTTTGTACAGTTTTCCGTTTTTTGTCCCAAATATCTTAAAGAAATTATTCTGTTTTTCATAACTTGGTAATAGTTTTAAAACAGGAATATTACAGCTTCTGATTGCTAATGTGCAAGTGTTGATTTATAAGTATTTCCTATAAATGTGTATTTATATAAAAAGCAGAAAGTTATTAGTCCAATGCACAACACTCACGCCAAACCTCGGTATCCTATTAAGAGTTCAATGTTTGGCAAAAAAAGATAAAAAATTATGTGGGCAAATCCAATCATGATGCCACGATAAAATGGACAAGGAAAAAAAAAACTAATTCCAAAAATATGCTTTATAAATTGACTGTCAGATTTCATCGAATTACACCAAGGCTTGGAATTCCACTGCCAAATGAAGCATTAAATCCAAATTGCATCCAAGGTGCATTAAGTTCAGTAATTGAGGACTCACCCTGTAATTGTTCTAATTTCATGATACTGCCCCCGCTGCTTGAGCCGGCTCACATTATTGGGCTCCTCCACACCTGCTGCTTACTCTGCAGATCTCTGTCTCCTCGACCCCCATTAGCTAGTGCTACAGAACAGGAGGTGAGAGATGTTCGGTGTCAAGATCCTCATCTCGTCCGTTGTTCTGTGGATTTTAAGTGGTAGCAGTCTGTTTGTATCAGGTCTCACAAAAGGTTACAAGAAATATCATAGTATTTAAGTTGTATTCATTATAGCTTAATTTGGTGCTTTTCATCTATAAACAACGGACTTTATTTAATACTAAACACATTACTACATTTTCTTTTCTCATCACTGGAGTAGTCTAGATAACCTTTTTGCTTTTATCATTAGAAATAAAGCTTATTGAAAAAATATTACTAGAAATATTTCTTTAAATTATTGTTTTGTAGGGGGGACAGTTGTTGAACGGGGTGAGATATTGAATAGATTCTTGAGGCACTTCAACAGCAAATATCATCTACAGTATAAGCCCATCCTTTGCTGCTACCTTAAGCAACAACTCTGATTCCTATGAAACCTGTCTCAGTAGAAATACACAAATTAATGAGTAAATAGATACCAGATTTGTTTAATCAGTCATCCCTGGTCTCCTTTGCTAGGCAAGTGTTTGCCTAATGGTAATAAAACCTTAACAATTTCAGTTTAGCCGTATGAATGGAATGGGATAGGTGACGGGTATAGCTGGTGGTTTTGGTAAAAGCAAAAGTTTTCTCCACATTTGTTTAATGGCTTCTTAGCATAACTTTTAGCAATTAATGTGAGTAATGGTGAAAGCACTGGAAAGTTATTGGTCAGACGGTTTTCTCTCTTCTGCGGTTGATGATATATGCCTGCCATTTGGATTTCATTTTGTGTCCTGTTGTTCCAGGGACAGCCTCCACTAGCCTGTGCCGAACGCTGACATTTGGCAAACCTTTGTCTCCGGTTCTCATTTATTGCAGCTATGAAATCACTTTAGACATATGATAATCTTTCCTGGAAGTGTCCTTTTTAACATGCGAATGTGAGCCGCCGCAAACGAGGAACTGTCATTGTGGCGGCCCCCCGGATTTCCCTCAGGAAAGAATTGAATGCTTTTCCCTTTTTCTACAGAGAATCGTTTCTTTGTGGATGCGGCGGCATTTTGTGTTTTCGCCCCGCTTATTGTTCAAACACACTTGGGAGATCTTCTTTGGCTTCTCAGAAATAGAAAAGATGCCACTTGAAAGTGCCTGAAATGCCTCCCTTCGACTTGTTGAGCTCAACTATAGATAGAATAGAAATACAGTGGAGCAGCTAATACAGATGGATACCTTCGTCATGCTATTTAAGCCACACGGTGGGAAGTTAACTCCATATAGATTATGCTGTTTATCCCTGGCTCTTTCAAAGCAGGTATTGTAACTATAATAATTGGGTAAGCACTGATATAAACAGCTAAACAGCAAGATACAGCTGTGGGAAAAAATGAGACCAAATCCTCATTTAATTGTGGTTCTGCTGGGCAGAGGCTACGCTGAGCCACAGGCTGCTTCCAGGCTCAAAGTTTCTACAAGAACAAGATGAAGCAGGAGAAACTGGAAACGACCAGGAACCAGCCAGGTAAAAGGCGGAAGCGACAGTCTAATGCCAGAGATGGCTGTTAACTTATCATGAATCGGAGGATGACATCAAGTGACCTTCAAAAGGAAAGAGAGGCATAAAGTGCAGGTGTGAAGTGCACTGCTAGAACAGTTCGTATCAGACCCCTAGAAGCAGGACTGAAGTCCCATAAAGCAAGGAAGAAGCCCTTCATTAATGATAAACGGGGAAGAACCAGGCTGCAGTTTGCAAAACAATATATATTATTCATAGACGCACACCCATAAATGGAGAAATGAATGAAACAAAAAATTCTGCTGTGGTCTCTTAATTTTTTCCACGGCTGTATGAACTGCGGCATTAATTTTGTGCCCATTCTGTTGCTGATCATATACTGTCTCTATACGTGCCATAATTCACTGTTTCAAATAGTTAATACAAGAATTTGCTTTGAGAGCCATAGGTTTGATTGCAGAGCATGAAGTAAAGACAATCAGCACTGGGAGTACTCATTTTAAATTGATATGCCTTAATTAAATGTCCAATTGCATTCTCGCTTCGGCGACAATCATTATTTTTATGAAGGGCAATACTGTTAATGGTTCCCTGTTGAGCATATAAAGCAAATGGACACAAGAGGGAAAAAAACGGCAACATGAGGAAAAATGAGAACATCGTGGAACTGCAGAAGTATGTCACCCTATGCTGGGTGTTGCATTCCTTAGGTTGCCACCACATGTGCATGCAGGCATTCGTCAAGAGCACAAGTGAT